AATTATTATTGGTAAGACTGTGTATAGGATATGGTAGATACCTAATCTTAGGGGACACTTAAGTAGATTCATGATGCCTTAAGTTTGGGTATTGTTCGTCCTTGGTTGGTTGGATCAATTCGATTGCCTATGTTGTATTGGCTTTTTGAAATTGACAAGGTTTTTTTTTTTAAATAAAAAAAAAAAAAAAGCTAGTTAGGCAGCTGTAAAAACTACTAGTTAATTTTAATAAATTTTGAGATTAAATTGATGGAAAAGACATAGTTTATGAGCTAAATTGACATTTTATTTGAGGACAAAAATCATTTCCAAGATTTGTTTTGGATTTATTTTAAACTTTTTACTTATAAGTTGAATCGGTAAATTTATCAACTAATAATCCAAAATAATCTAATTTGAATTTTAGAATGATCATGGAAAGAAAGGAAAAAAAAGAAAGAATTGCGGAGATAGTTTTTGTCTAAAATACCAATTAAGTACGGTCTAGCATTACATGGTGTGGATGTTTTTTTTTAATTATTTTTCTGAATTAATGAATTTTTTAGAGAAAGAAATAAAATGAGTTATAACAAAATTTATTTTTGTTATATTGATAAAATTATTCTTATTTTGTTATTATAATCATAAATTGTCCTTAATATATATTATATATTAATTTGTCACTTTATTAAAAAATTTCTATATGTTGTTAACAGATCTTCATTATTTTTGTTTTTATTACTATGACTCAAGTTTATTTCTTGTTTATGTGTTTTATTATAATTATTTCTATTTTATTTTGTTTGTAAAAAAGTTAGTTTTTTTAATAAGTTGTTGTGTTATATTACAAAATTAGAAAATAACTTATTTAAAAATTGATCATATAATGATAGTATGACATTTATTAATATTTTATTTACACTTTAATATATTTTAAAATTTTTAAAATATTAAATTTTTTGTGTTTAATTATCTATTTTGTTTTTAATTTATTTAGCACAAATATTATAGTATTTTAAGGTTAAAAGTGTAAAGTAAGCCAAACATGTTTTTTTATTAAAATTTTTCTCTTCACTTCTCTTCCTTTTTTGAACCAAATATTAATTTAAATCTCCAAAAGACGAATTAATTTAAACTTTATTTGAGTGCGTTTCTGACATTTGTTTTAGAGAGAGAGAGACCAACTCTCTAATGCGATGGAATGTAGGGTGGACCTTTAAAAATAATCTTTCAAAAAAGAGTCTAAATATTATTTATTTAGATAATTGGTTTAAATTTTTATGTTAATGATAGCGTAAATAAAAATATATATATTATTATATAATTAATTATATTAAAATAAATTAAACTATTTAACAACAGAATAAAGTGTAAATTTTAATATAATTGGATATGAGAATATAATTTTATTATTTTTTATGGAGGGAGGCATTAATTTTCTGTAATATATTTAAAACATTGGATATTTTAATTTAAGAGTTGGTAGCATAATTTAATCATTTTTGAAAAACGAAAATATTTATTTACTTAAAATTACTTTTGTTATTATATTACTCATTAGCTATGCCTTTTATTAATTAATATAGCTTCTCCTTTTGTAATCCTTCCATAGTTTCCTTAAATATATCTTATCACGGACTTATAACATTTATAGTATGTTTTCAAAAATAAAAAATGTTATAATTGTCAATCTTAAATTCATATAATAATACGTAATTTTATGTAAACAAAAAAAGTTTGCTAATCAAGCCCAACATTATGAGATAATATCTTTATATACTTAGATAGATGATGTCTAAATTGGCTTTAAAGATGTGTGGGTAATTTATTCAATTGTCAATACTTATTTATGTGATTCGGTATAAGTTTGAAAAATAGATCCCTCATTTATGTTATTTGGTACAAGTTTGAAAAATAGATCACTTAAAAGAACACAAATTTTTTCCAACAAAAAAATACACAATTTTTTTCCTATAATATTTGATTCTCAAAACATCTTTGATAACTTATGAAGATGTGTTACTAATAGGTTGACTTGTTTTCTTTTTCTCAAAATTCATGTGACTACTTTTACAATAAATAATTCACCTTCTCTCTTTCTTTCTCTCTTACTCCACACCAATGACAACCATGGCTTCATCTTGCACCTTCTGCTTACCAACCTCTGTCTGTCTCTCCCTCTCTAATTTAAGAATACACATTTGCAATATTTTCTTTCATGGGGATTTAGATATGGAAGAGTACTCCAACTTGGTTTGCGATTGATATCACGGATTATGTAGATCCAGAGCCTAAATATGTGAAACTAAATAAACAAAGAAGCATTCATATTGGTATAGGCTAATTATAGCATATCAATTTAATGACGCCAGAAGGCAAATAATAGTCTTATAGTTGTGTATCAAAGGAGTGCTTAATCACCTTAGAAGCAAACTTAGACATGTCATAAGAACACAAGTACACGCGAGCAAATGTTTGAATAAGAACCGTTAGATAATAAAGCGAATTATATTAGATATCTGTCAATTTAAATTGTAGTCGTTGATGGGAAGATTCTAGACTTTCAAAAACACTAAAAAAACTTCATAAAAGGGAGTCGCATACGTCAAATAAAGGTACACACAAATTTTCAACCAAAATATTTTTCACATCGGGTAGTGTTTGACTTGAGCATCAAAGTGTTTGCAGATACCACTCTCATCTGTTTCAGAGTGACAATCTATAAAGAACCCATATTCTCGAAATTTTTTGATCTGACTGAATTCACAATCGAGTTAAATAATTCTTTTACGAAGAAACATTGGCGTCATTTGTGAGGAACGAAATATAACATTCAATCATTTACTCAAATGTTAGAATGATAAATTAGGAAAAGAGAGAATCGTAACTCTAACCGCCTATGACTTATGGCTATAGACACATTGTGTGAAGAAACCCCCAACCAATAATTATAGGGACTCACAACATCCTTATTTGACCTAGAGAATCATATCTAACGTCTTATAACGGTTAAGACACTTTACGTCTCCCATTGATGACACATTTCAGACACCCATGAAACTAAACAAATATACCCTCTACTAAAAGGGCATTACAACACCTGATGACCCCACTTTAAGGGTGTTAAAGTTTCATTAAATTTTTTATACATAATAATTCAATGAATAAATAATAAAATTTATTTAAAAAGAAATTTATAAATTTAACTGAAATACTGGGATGTTACAATTAGTTTCAGTATTGTGAATAGATTCACAGAGTGACCAAAAGTGTCTCACTTGATAATAGTCAAGAGGATCTTAAGATACGCCAAAAAATATATTGGCTGTGGAATTCTCTTTCTCGTAGCGGATACGGGAAGAAAATGCAATTTGCTCGATTTTACCAATTCCAATTGGTGCGGAGATAAAAATGATCGAAAGTCTACAGCTGGATACATCTTTATGTTTGGTGGAACACGAATCTCATGGTGTTCAAAGAAGGAACCAATAGTTGCACTTTCGTCTTTTGATGTCGAGTATATTGTTGCTTCATTATGTGTGTGCAAAGTCATGTGGCTTATGAATCTATTGAAGGAGCTGAACAACAATGAGGGTGAGGTTGTTACACTCCTGGCTGATAGCGTATTCGCGATTAATCTTGCTAAGAATACAATAGTACATGGAAGGAGCGAACACATTGAGATAAGGTTTCACAACTTTAGGGAAATTGTTAGTGAAGGAAGATTAAGATTGGGATATTGTAGAAGTGAAGACCAAGTGGTCAATTTGTTAACTAATTGAGTCACAAATGATGTGTTCAAAAGGTTAAAAATGAACATGGGCATGGAAGACTTGGAGCACTTGAATTAAGGTGGTGTGTTAAGAGTTTTTGAGTAATTCAAGTGTTATAATCAGTTAACACGATGATGTAACCGGTTACAGGTGTCAAAATAAGTCAAATAAGCAGCTAAAAAGTGATTCTAGATTTGGTGTAACCGGTTATGCATTCGCAGTAACCGGTTACCACTTTTAGTTAATTTTAGTTTGTTTCAACTGTATCCGGTTACAAGCTCGATTTTTTTTTATTTTTCTATTATTTAACTTATATAACTTGTGTCTCAATCATTATATATATATATATATATATATATATATATATATATATATATATATATATATATATATATATATATATATATATATATATATATATATATATATATATATATATATATATATATATATATATATATATATATATATATATATATATATATATATATATATTGCTTCTATAAATGCTTTAGAGACATTCTCATCAATATTTAAAAATGAATGAAATATTCTCTCTCTTTCTCTCTCCTCCTCTTCCCCTCTACACTCTCTAATTTCTCCATTATTCACTAAAATTGTGGTTTCTGACAATTTAAAATTTGTTTATATTTTTTATTTTAATAAAAATTGTTGATTTATATAAATATCAACAATTTATTTACATCTGTATATTAAAAATATACATAGAAATATTGATGTTGAAGGTTATAAACTATGTACCAATAACTCACACCTAACCCAATAAGCAAAAATCAGCTTAACTACCATATTTTCTCCAAAATGTATTTATATTTAAGGATGTTTTTTTTTTTTGATAAATATATGTTTATGTTTAGAGACAAAGAGAATAATTTTAATTATTTGTTCTTATAATTTTTATTATTTCTTAAAAAATAAACATACATCTTAATATAAAATATATCTTAATTGAGAAATGAATGTTAATTTACATATTATATTATAGACTATTTTGTTTGTCCCAATTATTAAAAAAATTATTGATCTGCCACTTTCTCCCACCGGTCCCAAATATAAGAAGAAGAAAAAAGAACTATCATATCTAATCATTATTCAATTGTGTTGGAATTCTTCAATTCTGAGGCTAAGATGGCATCTCACGTCAAGTTCCTGCAAATATGGGCTTCCCATCCTAGTTGTAAAGATGTCATTTTGGAAACTTGAAGGTCTAGACTGCTAGGATGCCTTATGTTCATCCTACAAAAGAAACTTCAATTATTAAACACAAAGCTAAAAGAGTGGAATATATCTACCTTTCAAAACGTCCATGACAATGTGAAGACGGCTGAAGAGAATCTTATTAGAATCCATAAAGATATTGAGGTGGATGACCATACTGAATCTCTTAGCATTTTAGAGAAGAAATCTCAAGTTCAACTTGACGACGCTCTTCATTTCGAGGAAATCTTTTGGAAAGAAAAGGCAAAAGTGAAATGGAACATGCATGGGGATAGAAACACAAGGTATTTCCATAGGATTATTAAGATCAAGAAAACCACAAAGAGGATTTCTAGCTTGAAAGTGGAGGGAGTGGTCATCACTAATCAGGAATAGATACTTGATCATGTTGTAGCTTATTACAAGGATCATTTTAACAAAGTTTCTATTTTACAGGATGATAAATTAATCGAAGGCGTCATTCCCTCGCTAATGACTGACGAATCTAATAAAACTTTGATTATGCTTCCAACTCAGGAGGAAGTTTACAACTCGGTAATGAGTTTGGGTAAACATGTTGGATATAGAGCCTTGGATATGGAATTTCATTTGGGAAGATGAGATCGATAAAAGAAAGATGGTAATTATTGCTTGACATAAATGTTGTCGGCCTTTTGAGGAAGGAGGATTGGGGATTCGTTCCTTGTTAACTCTGAATGAAGCTTCTAATTTAAATCAATATTGGGACATGATCAACTTGAAGGATCAATGGGTGGTTTTAGTTAGACATAGAGTTATGAGGGATAACAAGCACAACAATTACCATATTTATTCGTCTTTATGGAGCAACATGAATGGATCTTTTGATGAAGTCATAGAGAACTCGAGATGGATTTTGACAATGGCATAAGCATAAAATTCTGGTTGGATAAATGGAATGGCTCTTCGGCAGTGGACTCCTTAGGCATTAATGATTGGAATCAGGATTTCATAATGAGAGAGTTTCAAATTATATTTCGAATCTGGAACGGAGAGTTCCTCAGAGTATTGTTATGAAGTTTCCATCCCTCACTAACCATCTTTCTAATGTTCACATACCTATTGAGGAGAAGGAAAAGGCATTTGGAGCAATATTGTTGATGATAGTATCCTCACTATAAAGGTTGCTTATAGTTACAAACATATTGTTGCTCCAATTCTGACTTGGGAGAAATTTATATGGAATATTCATATCCCAACTTCTAGATCTTTACTATTTTGGAAACTTCTTCATCATAAAATTCCCACTGATTTAAGTCTGGCCACTGGAGGGATGAATATCCCTTCCATGTGTAGTTTTTGCTTGGCACATCTAGAGAGCTCTGATCATATTTTTTTCAAGTGCAATTTTGTCAACCACCTTTGAGAGAAATTTCTTCTTTCTTGACTCATGATATCCGGACCGTTGATGATTGTTGGGTGGCGTTAAACAAACATTTTTCTACTCATAGCAAGTTGGTAGTGTTGGCAGCTATTATCAATACTATTAATGTAATTTGGCAGGCTAGGAACAGACTCTGATTTAACAACATCAGAACTCGCTGGAAGACAACGTTCAATGCCATAATTGCTGAGGTTTCTCGCACGGGTAATGCTACTCTCAAAATCGATTTTATTTCAATGTTAAATCTCAATATTCTGAATTGCTTAAATGTGAAGTTGAATCCTCCTAAGTCTTGTATAGTGAAAGAGTTTCTCTAGCATGCCCCTATTCTGAATTGGGTCGATGGTGCCTCTATGAGAGTTTCGGGTGTTGCTACTTGTGGTGTTATTTACAGGGATCATAGTGGAAATCATCTTGGTAGCTTCTCAATGATTATTGGGATGGAGAATGCCTTCATGGAAGAGCTTACGGTTGCTATGATGACTATTAAGGTTGCAAAAGTCAAAAATTGGAATCATCTTTGCTTAGAATTAGATTCAAAATTGGTTGTTTTTGTGTTCAAAAAACCTTCTATGGTTCTTTAGAGTCTTCGGAACAGGTGGAAGAATGTTTTGTATCATACTAGATCCATTTATTTTTTGATAACTCATATCTTTAAGGAAGGTAACTATTGCACGGACAAATTTGCTAACACAGGTTTACATGTACATGATATTACATAGTGGAACGTAGTTCATAGGGATATTTTTATGAATTTTTCTAAGAACTCCATAGGTCTTCCTTACTATGCAGTTTGTCATTAAGAGGCTTTGGTTTGGTCCCCTTATTTTTGTTCTCAGTAACTACATCTTTCTTTCTAATATATTTTGTAGTGCTTACGTGCCATCTTTTTAAAAATAAAAATAAAACTACTTTTAACTTATATAATACTATTATTTTTATTATACTTTTCATTTAATTCAAAAAAAATTTAATAGATATAGATGTTAAACAAGGGTGATTTAGTACATTTGTCTTATTTTACTAAATTAAGGAAATTAATTACAATTAGCTACATTTGTTAATAATTGTGAAAGTATGTAGTTTTGCTTATATAGTAGTGATCAAATGGGTACTAGGTTAACATAAAGGATTTTTTTAATGATATATATATAGGTTAGACCTGATTTTTATAAAGGTAAACTCTAACTTAAAATAAGCTTTTAATAAGTAAAAAGTCAGATTTAGACATTAATTTTTTTTAAATAGACCTAACTTATTCACATCCATATTAGTTAGAAATGGTTTATAAAACCATGTTTAAGGGAGTAAATAAAATTTAAACTATACTAGAAAAGATGATTGTTTGTATTAGAGCATGAAAATAACAAAGGCCAACAACCTCCATAATTATGCCCGTGTCTCCAACATGTACTTAGACTAAAACAAACGAGTTCAACCTTTTGTAGGACACGAAAGGGTGTCTAAATGAATCTACCTGGAAACTTACTGAGGTGAGTTTTTCTTGTCTCCAACTCATACAAAAGACATAACCCTAACTATTAAATATATGTTACTCAAAACTATAGGACCATTTTTCTTCTCTAATTGGACAAATCAAATCTCATTACTCTCTATTCTTTTAAATATGACCCTCTTCCATTTAATTTGAAATATAGGAATGGACAAACATCAATAATTAACTCACACACGTGATTTAATTAGTATTATATTCCTTCACTCACCAGACCCCTAAAAGATAATACAAACTTTTTTTGGAGAAACTTGAATGAATGATACTATGGTATGTACATTCATGTGTACAGATACAAAACAATTTGGAGAACCTGGACCACCCCTTTGCCTTTCTTAGTTTTTTTCTTAAAATTGGTCGCACAAAAATTTCAAGTTTCTCAAATTAACTCCATACCTGAATTTATTGACACAGAGCAAACTATATTATTAAAAACAGAAAAACATAAACAAATGAACCATATAGTTTCATAATTTCTGTATACACCCTGTGATCTCATCTGAAATAAATACCAGTATATTATAATATAGGCCGGTTAGTGAGTAATTAACCTCCACGAGATGCCCCTTATTAGAGATTAATTTGTCAATAAATATATATATTCGGTCCAATTCCTTTTTATAATGTTTAAAAAATTATTTATTTACTTAGAAGTAACACAAGTGTAGATCTTTGGTGAACCCATTCTATATCACACTTTCATTTATTAGCTTAGACAATAAAAGAGAAACAAAGAAACAAAGTACTATATATATAGTACCCAACAATACCACATAGATATATACTACTTTCTTTCTCACGTTCTTCTTCTTCTTGTAGTATAACAAACTCTAACACAGAAACAAACAACCTTCAAGTTTCAACCACTACAACTACGTACTACAAATATGTCTATACAAGAAACGACGTCGTTATGGTGGACTACTCACCAACAACAGCAACAACACAAACAACGACAAGAGAAGACCAAGAGTCATCAACAAGAGGAAGAAGGTGAATTAGAAGACGACGTCGTTTCAGAGTCAGTGATGAAACTAAAAACGGTGTCGGAATCGGCATCAGTATCAGAAGAAGAGAAAGAAGGTATGTTTGAGAAACCGTTAACACCAAGCGATGTTGGGAAGCTGAACCGCCTCGTGATACCGAAGCAACACGCGGAGAGATACTTCCCACTCGACTCAGAAGAAACGAAGGGGCTTTTATTGAGTTTCGAGGACGAGTCAGGGAAGTGTTGGAGGTTCCGTTATTCGTATTGGAACAGTAGTCAGAGTTACGTTCTTACCAAAGGTTGGAGTCGTTATGTCAAAGATAAACGTCTTGATGCTGGCGACGTCGTTTTGTTTCAAAGACACCGTACACATCCTCACCGGTTTTTTATCTCCTGGAGGCGCCGCCATGGTACGGCGGCCGCAACAGTGACCCCTTACGTTGGCCCTAGTACTGACGGCAATGGTGCTGTTTCTTCTGTTGGGTGGTCCAGAGGACTCTATCCTGCGCATCCTTATCCTACGCATCATCACCCTTTCTCATACCATGCTGCAGGTTTTTACTTCTCTTTATTCCCATTTTTTAAATTAAAATTTTGTGACATTTTTAGCATATTAAAATCTATGAAGTTTTTTTTTCCATTTAAAATAAGGGTTACTTCCAGTTATTTGGGACAGGGAGGAATAAGTATAACCTAAAGTTAGTGGCGTGAAACCTACGCGCCTATGCTTTTGTTTTGTTGAATTGTTTTTGTTGTATTTATTTAATTTAACGTGGTAAAAAGAAAATTAATGTTTTTCAACAATAAAAGGTTGCATTTGAGGGACATTTTAATTTTTTTTTGTTTTTTTGGTTTGTTTGGTCTTGATTAATTTATTTATTGAAAAAATAAATAAAAGTATGAGCATTTGCACGTGTTGTAATATGACAGGTGAAGGGTCCCAAAGTCAGAACACAAACGCACCTTGTGGAAACAATTCGAGTACTTCCAGGGTGCTGAGGCTGTTTGGAGTGAACATGGAATGCCAACCTGATAATGATATTAATGATTCCGAAACACCAGAGTGTTCTTATAATATGTCACAAGGGCCACAATTCTATCACCTCCTCCACCGTCAACCACCGTCAAACACTCACCATCACATGCTACGTCAACAACAACCATAGAATCAATCAATTTCTTCGAGACATGCTCACTCTCCTAATTAGATTCTCTCTTTTGTTTAATTAATTATAATTATTATTAGTAGTACTAGTAGTACTAGTATAACTAATGACTATGTCATTAACATGATCCATGAAAGGAACCGTTTCTTAATTATTTATTATTATTATTATCACGTTGAAGATTGAGGATCTTTCTTGTCTTAAATTCAGGAGATGCATGTAAATGGAAATAGGTTGTTTATTTGTTTCATGAGATTTTCTTGTTCCCTATCAATCAAGCAAATATTCATTACTTTCTACTATACTAAGATGTGAATGCCAGATGAGACATCTATAATTTGATTCTTTTTCATTATTATTTTACTAATATAACTACTATTATAATACTAACAAGTAACCTGGCGCTGGCGCAGTGTGAAAACGATGTAAGTATAAAATAATAAATTTTGTTACTTACTTTAATTTCGGTCATGTGATGGAGCTAAAGTTTCATGAAACCTTGGAGTCAAATTTACATACATAGAATAATCTCATTTTTTTATTTTGCCCACTTTGCATGGGGTATGCTTACGAATCAACTCAAAATTGGAAGTGTGATGAAGTATGACGATATCAAGTTATGAACTTTTTTAAGTAACGTTTGTGGGCCTTAAAAGCCTTAATTAAGTGTCATCATTAAAAAACATAATTAGGTTTATCTGGTAACATATATTTATGGTCGAACTCCATCAAAAACTTTGCTGAAGCAAAAATCAAGAAATGAGAAAGTGTAGAAGTCAACTAAGTAGGTTAGGCTTTCAGTTGAGGTAAAGATATCATTCTAATTAGTGTCTCTTCAGGTCACTCTCAAGTAGTTTATCCCTCTTCAGTATCCCGACACTACATAGTTTTCCTAAATCTCAGGGATATCTTTCTTCTTTTATTTTATCTCTTTGCTTTGGGATTGGATCCTCCGTACCAGGAAAGAAAAATGTGAAATTACGTTCAATCTTTGAGAAAAGTGTAGGAATAAAAATACAAAATTATACTACTTACATTAGTCAATTAGTCCTTTGTGAGAAATTGTTTTTGTTGCTTAAATTTTTGTTAGAGATTAAGGTGTCTGAAATTGGCAAGTCGGAAAAACTATTTCAAATTTTTTTTTTTTATTTCAAGTGACCTTTAAAATGTAAACAAGTGAGATGTTGTAGGATCAAATTCACATTCCACCGTTTGATGTCCTTGTACAACGACCAATTGAACAATTGAACCGACTTAATGGAACAGATGAGTTTCAAATATTAATTCTCTCATAAACCAATTATATTTCCATAATGAATTGCAAACCTACGTCCTTGAGAAAGCACTTATAGAATAAATATATTAGCAATATTCTAGATGATAATTAGATTAGCATTTGAGAAAATTAAAACATGCACAAAATTACGTATAGCTAAAATAGTAAATGTTTTGAAATTCTTACTATATTTAAATTGAAAATGTTTTGAAATTCATATATTAACCGTTCAACAATTTATTTCTTATATTTATTGGTATTAAGACTGATGAGCTATCTCAAATCTTGAAAATTTAAATTTTAAAATACAGTTTATTTTAGAGAGAATAAATAGTCAAAATAAAGTATGACAATTTATATTATGCTAATGTAAAACACTAATTATATTTTATTAGTAATGTTTATTGTTTAAAAGAAACAACCTAAGAATTATCCTGTGGGTTTTTGGGCAAAATCCCATATTTCAAGGGGTGTGTCATAAAGTGTATGTAAACTTTTACTAATCTGTAGTGAAAAATTGTAGTGGCAGGAATCAACAGTGAGTGGATATGGGATTGCAACAGGTTTTGAAGCAAATGAGAAATCATAAAGGATAGGGACAGGTAGATACGACATCCCCGAATTGACTAAATTAACCCACTTGTCAGGTTCCTCCCCCCTCAAACCCTGCCCTAAAAGGGAAAGAGAAATAAATGGTGTAGAAACAGAAAGAGAGAGTAGAAAAACTAGAAAGGAGTAAAGAAACTAATCCCTGAATTTCATACCAAACTTTCACACCAAAAGAGTAGCAATGAGTAAACCATAGGAGTGTAGGGATGAGTCTTGATGGGAAAAGAAATAAGAGCAGAAGCAAGCAGAGAGGGTAAGGTAAGGCATGGAAAGAAAAAGTAGTGTAGGACCCACTGATAAAAACTAGGTGACATCATCACAGTGCCTAAATGGAGAATTTAGGCCATTGGAAATCAGAAATGAGGAATCAATTTTCTACTGTTGGGATTCTGCCTGAAGATTTTCACAAAGATTCATCATAATATAGACATGGGAGGAGGTAAGGCATGTTGCCAGTGCAGTGATGGTGTGCTCCTATTTGGCATTGGTGGGTAAAGTGAGTGAGTGGGTAGACTTGACTTTTGACTTCAAATATCACACAATCAAAATATGTATAAGCAATAAGCAATAATCAAAAATCAACCAACACAAACCACATGCTGCAATATGCTTCCAGCTCAGAAAATAGGTTGCACTAACAACTCAGCCTCAAGTAATATAGATTTGCCGCTAAAGAAAAAAAGTGTTTGGGTGATCATGACCAGAGGGGATACTTTTGGTATATGCTTATGGGGACCCAATGTTTTGAATTTTTGTCTATATACAAATTTTACCTACTGGTTTCCCATGAGTGTATTCGTGTAATGACAAGGGGGTGGTTATCTTCTGCTCATTTTGCATTCGTCATCACTTATGAGAGTTTAAACATGTGGATGAAAATCAAGTGAAAAACTTGAGCATGTCAACAGGCCATGGTCCCCCCCACTCTGTTGTTGGACAGACCTGTTTTTATATGGTCTGTTTTGTAGCAGATGTATGTTTTGCAAAACTACAAACAGCACGCAATGAAATAAAAGGGAAGAAAGAACGTTTACCATATAACTGACTGGGGTAAAATGTTTAGGCAAAGATGGAAAAATGTAAGTAAGACATTATACCAAGAATGAGACAAATATATCTCTAAAGAGAAAACAAGCAACACAGTATAACACTCAGGCTACTTAACAATGAATAATCTTTCAGTGGTGTCTGTTTCAATAGACAAGGGGATGAGGAAAAAAAAAAGGAAAATATTTATTAAGAAAAAACTCTACTTTTTCTTATATTACTATAATATAACAGTAAAACAACACTTAAATAGTGTATATGAATTTTATCCTTTTACTTGTTGGCTGACAAACGAAAGGCAGAATGAGTGATTGATTTCCACCACTGAACCTCTCCCCTAAGTCCATAATTCTGTACAATCAGTGCAAGTTAATTTCTTTTCATTTTATTCCTTCCCCTATCTCTCCAACACAGTGGTGATATGGCTTCTGGGCACACAAGTGTCCAAATTTTGGGTACAAAGTGAGGTATATAATATATATCATTCAGGAAAAGTACAGTTTTACTGACTGAAAATTTTGCTGTGGTACAAGCAACTGCTTGTATAAACGACAAGAAGGTGTTGAGAAAATGGGGATGTGACTTATCAATGAGGTGCTTTTGATCAAATGACTATCACACTGTCTCTAACAAATCATTATCTCTCACTAAAATAAATTATTATATTCATTTATGTATCTTGTTATCACACTAAAGGTATCAAATTATGAAATAGTAAAGGTTAATCCCCTCACAAAGAAAGAAGAAAGAATAATTCAGCAATGTTTGAGGACCTAGAGGAGAGAAGAGCTTCAACTGATCACTGTGTTTAAACAGTGGCTTCATCAAAGCTTTTAGGATCAATCAAGTTAGTGCAGAATAATTATGCAAAAGAACGACAGGAGTGCAGAATACCTTTATGAGTAATCAAATACTGTGTTCTGTGATTATTGGGGGCCCATAAAGATTTACACAACAGGCCCATTGTGTTATGCTAGAGAAGAAGTCCAGTGTCTAGTGGCTCAATGGCTCTTCAAGTGGGAGGGTCCTCAGATATGTGGTGTTTGGCATTAGCTTCCACATAATGGCCAATCAAAAAATAAAAGGACTTTACCTGCAGGAGTGGTAAAGTTATGATTAATACACTGCAGATAACTTAATAGAAGAAAAAAAATTAAGAGAAATACTGTGAGTGTACATCTCTTTAATTCACACCACTTAAAAATACTTTGAAAAGGGAGCGATGAATCTCACCATGAGCCTCCTTTAGGACATGGCACACAGTTGGGAACTGAACTTCTTCTAGAAGAATAAGGCACCATATTGATATCACCTGAATCCCTTTGAATCTAGAAATCTATGTCCTAAGGTCTAATAATGATCCAAAACAATATGTATGCTATATCATTCGTGTTGATTATGCCCTCAATGTCATAATAATAATGATCCAAAATAACAACTTCAAAAGATTCTCAGCAAATTAGCAGTAAAGTATGACTGAAAATAAGAACCCCACCTAAAATGTTTAGTACAGGTAAACCTATTAAAAAATGTATTTAAGTAATTACTCTTTTCTAAAATATTAAAACTATTCCCTAATAATTTAGAGAAATAACTGTGGGTGCATGCTTCATAAGGACAGTCCAATATAGCAGGCTTTACACCCAAAAGCTGTAGGCAATAATATTATGTGGGACCTTCATTGATCTTATCTTTCACATTATCTCAACCTCCACAATGAAACTAAAACTATTCAACTTAAAACTATTCAGCTTAAAACTATTCAACCTGCATCTCATGGTCCAATTTTTCTTCCACATACATGTGCAGAAGTTTACACCCGTGGTAGAAGTGCTACCCCAGTCTCAAGCTTATACTTGAGCACAACACGTGTAGTCAGAAATTATTGTAAAATCCAAAAGAACCCCACCCATGAGAAATGATAGCACAATCTACACTAATTAGCATTAGCCAAAGATACCATGCACCCAAGTACAGAAGCAGTCATATAGAAAATCTATGCTTAAGCAAAGCAGGTGCATTCATGTAACTATAGGATAACAGAAAAAATACAATTGTGACAATGATGATGAATGAGTATTTGAATTTTTATGGTGATTCTTTCACTATCCACCAATGAGAAGAAATGTTGGGAGAATGAAATTCAGAGCCCCCAGCTCAAATTTCATAGAATAGGTAAGCTCAACAACCATTGGTTACAAAATCAAAATCACAATCCAAAACCTAAATATATACCATTTGGTATAGCTGCTAAATAAGCATGGAATCAACTCATGCCAATTCTATAAACATCACCTAGAAGCACACAACTTCAAAATTCGTAAAACATAAAATAGCAGAAGCATAACTCAGGTGCTACCACAGCATATTTAGCCACCCCATATGCTTTATTTTGGAATATCTAATCCAATTATATTTGCTCAGTGCGACGTACATTCAAACCCTTGAATTTCCGGGGACAATTAAATTTCAAGTCTGGTTCTAGATGACAGGTGGCTAAGCAGGACAAGACATTCAAGTCGATTTTTTTGATGCATCGGCATCTTCTTCAGTTTTGGAATTTTCTTTCTTCTCCATTACTTGCTGAACACCCTCTTGGTATCCCTCTATAAAACTCTTCATGGCATCCCTGTATGCAGAAGCTCTTGTCATATAAACACGCTGCAAAGCAGGTCTGAGAGTCTCCATGCCCCCTCTAGCAGCTACAGCTGTATATTAACCATTAAAACATATATATGGATGATCAAAATCACCATCGCAAACTTATAATTCAAAGCAATGATTTGAAAACATAACCAGAAAAAATGTTGACAAAACCAAAAACAAATATAAAGGACAGGGAGGTTATAAACCACAAAAGTCATCATAGTAACAAAATCTAAACAGAATTTTGCTTCAACAGAGCTGAGAGTTTAACTCCATGCTCCAAGGGTGGCACACAAGGTTTTGAATTACAATAACAGTTATTGTAGTTATATTACGATCTTTGCTATTGAGCAATATTATGGACTAATGCAATCATTGTTTGGTGAAACCTTCAAAAACCTTTGCATTGCAATACACAGACTGCAATTTAAAATCACGACATACAAGTTAATGAAAAAATCTGACTAACATCAAAGAGTTTTTTGGCCATCTGAGGGAAGGTAGTCTTTGAAGTGATGCTCAGAATCATCTGAATTGCTTTCTTTTGATGTTAGTCGATAATGCACTGGCTATATTAGATTATGTGTGAGACATAGATGGTTTGATTAAATAATTCAGACAAAAATATATGAGTTCAAGTAGTCATTAAGTATAGGTACACAAAACAATTTTTAAGAGTATAATGACAAACATCATTGTACTTTAATACAATATAATAATCTTAATTTTAAGAAGCCATTGAAAGCAAATGGCATAACAGAAATAACCAGAGAAAGAGACAGTACCGAGATCCTCCAGTGTTGAGGGTTCTTTATCTTCAGTTGTTTTCTTTATAGCATTAGGTTCATCATTCACTTCATCTGTCTTGTAGTCATTTGGCCGAAGATCAGGACCAATGTCACGAACCCAGCTAGCAGCATAAAGCCTAGTAGCTCTTTTCAAAACCTGAAAACTGAATGTGAGGTAACAGACTAACTCGACGCAATAAAAGTTGGAAACGTTTTTTATTAATGGAAAACGGCATACCCAGATACGCTGCTCCCATGTTAATTTGCGGCGCTTTTTAAGGTTAGGAGGATTGGGCAAAGAGGACGGAAAAGCAATTTCTTTGAGATCATAGCGTATGTAGTCGTAAAGTTTCCTACACACAACCCTCACTTTCATTTCACGCCTCCAAAACTAGCAACTAGCAGAAGCACAGTAGTGAGATGGTTAGAGGGGATATGAGACAATGGCTCAACTGAATCATTGGTTAAAAACAACTCGTGATACGAAAGCTAAAAAAAACTAACCCTTTCAGTGCAAATTTTTGTTTTATAATTTAAAAATTTTCAAACTAAAGGGATTCAGGTGGTAGTATCAATATGGAAAAGGAAAGCTCAAATACAAGAGGCTAAGCGGAAGAAAAACATTAAGGTAGAGCGTAAAATGGCTGCAATTACAAAAGTACTACTACTGCTACTAGAAATCAAATGGAAAAATCATGTTTCGAACGACTCTTGACAACATTGACTACTATGAATTCCAACATGAAGAAAGGGAAAAACAACTCAAATTAAACAAAAGAAGAATTATGAAGAATACTGGAGTTGAAGTAATGAGTGGTGTTGTTCCTTTCCTAATTGGCATTATAACTAGATAATAAGAAAACAAAACACATTCCATCTAGCCAAACAAATTTAGCTAACTCTAAAACTAAAACCCTAGATTGCAATGGAACTGATTATGGTGTGCTTGATCATTAAAAAGAATTAAATTCTATTACACAAAAACAGAACCAGGAACACAAAACAACAGGTAACTCCTCTTCACAAACACGTGTCAATGTAACTACGTTTGATCATTGAACTCTTATACAAACCCTAAAATTATACAATGCACAATGGAGGAAGAACTTACCAAAGAGACAGGATAGCGAGGTTCAAAGATAGAGGTAGTAGACAAGTCACGCAAAGTTTCCGGCGGAAAGCGTGGAAGCGACGGCGACGAGCAACTTTGCAAGAGGAGCCGAGGAGAACGTTTGCATTTTTCAGAGGATGAGAAATTCACGAAGCCGAAAGCGTCGTTGGTTAAATGAAAAATAGAGAAAGAAATTCTATCATAAGTGAGTAGTTTATTATTTTCCAGTGTATTTCTTTTTTTTTAAAAGGTGACTTGCACAAAGAATAAAGCCAAGGTTTATTTCTTTTTTTTCAAAAGTGGGTTCAATTAGGGAGAGTTTTGCGATTTTTTTTTAAATTGCCATTATTTTTAAATATATATTAAATAAACCACCATTTTAAAATAATTATCAAAATAACTAAGTTTGGGTTGGAGATGAGAGAAGTCGTCATTTCAAATAGTACGTGTATACTTCACATACACTTAAGTGTCATTTAAAATGACGAATGCATACACCATGTGCCATATGCATTGGCGCACGCATTCATTCCCTCAGGGCATGCATCATTTGTTATGACTACTCCTTTATGTTACCTTTCTTATAAACTAGGGTTCAGATGGGCACTCGTGTGCCCGTCTGTCTGCTTTTTTAATTAACACACGTAAAAATTTAAATGATGTTTTTTTATTTAATATTAATTTTAAATAAAAGTTATGTAAAAAGTTAATAGTATGAAGTTAGATAGGAAGTTAGTATGAAGTTAGATTGTAAATTAATAATAGAAAGTTATTTGAAAGATGATAATAGTGGTTTTAATGGATGTTACTGTGAGTTATACATTAAAAGGGTAAAATTGGTATAAAAAAAATAGGCTACACCAAAACATCATGTTTTGCCTTTATATATGTTATAGATTATAGATATAGCACCACCTGCTATTTATTTTTCGCACTTCTTCTTACTATCTCTATTTTTATAATATATTTTCAAATTTTTTTTCAAAATGTCTTCATATATATATATATCCCTATATACACAAGAGAAATGTTGATTTAATTTACTCGAAAGTAATGTCTCCGATGAAGATCCAACTCTGGAATACAAAGACGTTCGAACATTTAAATAGGAGTCGAATCCATTTGTTAGATGGAGACATTGCAGAGGGTGAAAAGATCAGAAGAATTCAAAGGCTTGTTACCACGTTCAACCAAAATGGAGAAGTTTGTTTCTAGAAGAATGTTAAAACTAACAGAGATATTCACATGATGATGTATAGTTCTCAGGAAATTATCATGATGGTTGTAATCGCATTGTTATGTTATTTAGTCGTTGTATTTATTCGTTTTGTTGTTTAATTGTTTAAATTATTGTTAGTTGTTTTTAAATTAATGTATCTGAATGTTATGATATTTATGCAATGAAAGTTGTTTTTGATATAAAGCGAAACAATTACGTTTAAAATTATGTTGTTGTGTTTTGTCCAACATTGGGATAGTTTGTACAATTGTGTTCGAGTTGACGCCATGAACTACATAATATCACTATTTTGTTCACCATTTCCATTTCGGTTCAAATACGCGTGCTGTTAGGGTGACCCTTTTTATTTTTTTGCATAATTTTATTGTGTCAAACTATATCCCCTTCATATGTGCGTCAATAGTCATCTTTTGCTACCACTGGAAAGCCAATGTTGTAGACATTGCATAGGTTTGTGACTTGGAACATGTCGTTATGACATGAACATGTCGCTATCTAGTTCCACTCGATAGTATTCCCTTGGTCTCCCTTCATTGTGATCCATTGACTCTGCAACACTAAACCAACCTTTATTATGGTCAAACACTGTGACCACATGTGTGTTAGCTTAGGAAGCTTCTTCCTTAATGACTTTCATTGAACTATCATAAACAGTTACCCATATGGTAACACAGACTCCATTTTGAACGTCTGATCTCAAAAAGTGACCCGAGCCTAAAATATGTTGCCCTCACCAAAGCGATTATTGGTAGGTTTCAGATGCCTTTAAGGACATAGTTCATTGATTCCACGAGATTAGTTGTCATTTGGCTTAATCGTTGTCCATTGTCGTATGCCCTGGTGCACTTCACCAATGGAATATTATCGACCCACCTTACGGCATATACATTTGTCATCTGATGTCTTCACGGTAGTGTTGAAGGAAGGTTCTGCTAATGCATACCCTGCATTCACAACCTTCTTCTGCAGCGTCTTGTGTTTGATCTCCCGCATGAAATTTTGAGTGATGTGTCTAATGCAATAAACATGCGTTGAAAGAGGATTATGCTAGGCGTTATCAAGATTTTTATATGCACTCTCAATTGATGCATGTCTGTCTGAAATCAAACATAAGTTAGGCTGAGGAGCAACATGTAATCAGAGATTTTTTAGGAAAAAACTCCATCCACCAGCAGTTTCCCCTTCAACAAGAGGGAAGGCGATTAGAAAAATATTGTTGTTGCCATCTTGTGCGACTCCCATGTGTTGCACCCCAAAATTTGCACTTGTTTTTTCTAACTTTAACTGGTTTTTGTTTCGCACTCTTCTGCATATCATCTAGGTCGATCATTTCTCGCATACTGTCCATATTATCAGGTGGAATGGATTTATCGAAATTACAGCCACTTTGTTCGCATTTTGGACGGTTTAAACTGTTTCGACGAATAAGCTTTATTTTGAAATTGGACTAAGTGTTACATTTCTTCCGAGTGGTTTATTTCGCGCTATTAATTTTAGTGCAGTCTTTTTTATTTTTTCGGTAATTTCGATACCCGATTCTTTTTATTCGTTTTTTATCATTTTATTTCTTTTAGTTAATTATTTAGTTTTTTTAAATAGTCCTTTTTATAGTTATTTCTAATCTAGTTAATATTTTACTATAGTTTGTTTTTGTATATAGTTATTTCTAATTAATTTATATTTTAATTCAGATTATACTTTTAATTTAATTTAATTAATTTAATTTATTTTAATTAATCTAGATCCATTTTTTTACAAAGCCATAATATAAGAAAATTGCAAATAATAATAATAATAATGAGGGTTTTCCAAGCAGTGACAACACATGAAGGCTCGACACAGCAAAGCATCAAATTATCTGATACAGTATGATAACAAAACGACAACATCCACATGGGAAACAAACCATATGCTACCCTGCCCACTTTCACCAACAAGGCATCAAACGTCTGCTACTGCCTGCACCAATAAGACCTACCATTTGTACATAAAACCTGCAATTACAAAACCAACAACAAGGACATTTCACAAAAACAAAAAAAAAGCAACAGGGCCCTGTAAAAAATCCACACATCCTGCATTAATAAAAAAGAAAGAGGATATCAAAAATGAAAAAAGGAGGAAGGATATTGGATACCTAGCCACAAAACCGCGCATGACATCGTTATGCATTTTTTTGCCCAATTTGCTACCCACAATTTTGCACATATCAAAGTTGGCAGATTCACAATCCCAAATGAGCAAAAGGTCTACTATACCAAAATCTCCCAACAAGGATACAAGGGCGGGCATAGTATCTTGCTAAAAGAAACAGCCTTGACCCGTGAACAGAGGAAAAAACGCTCATCTTGAACCTATGTTCAAAAAAACCTGTTCCTCTTAACCCATTCAAAAAAAATCCTTCTTTCATCCCGCATAAAAACAATAACTCCACTTCTTCCGCCTCCATTAATCCTCCATACACGACCTTTGTAACAGCCTAATTTTTTATTAATTAATTATTTATATTAATTAATTAATTTATTGGGATTGTTTTAATTATTGGTAGATAATTTGAGAGAAGAAATATGATGGAAGGAAATAGAATAGAAAGACATATAAAGGAAAAGTGAAGAGAAAAGAAAAGAATAGAAACATAAGGGAAAGAGAAGAGAAAGAAAGAGGAAAAGAAGAAAAGAGAAGGAAAAAAGGGGAAAGCTTGGAAAGCTCAAGAACAACTTCTAGCTTTCGATTTAATCAAGGTAAGGGTATGAAATATCATTATCTTATCAATGTATATGATTATGTATGACTTGTTTGGATTGTTGGGTGTTTTTCTACATTTTCCATTCTAGGGCAGAAATTAGTTTAATCGGTAGAATCAATGTTTTAACGGTTAAAATCGAGAATAAGTTGTGTAGTTTAGTCGAGGGATGTTAGACTAAGACTATTGGAACTGGTTTGGTGAAAATCAGGTGATTTGAGAGCTTCTGATGATTCTTGGACAGTTGGGGTTTTGAAGTACGCAGACGTTCGCTAGCACGTT